AGTCAAGTTGGTTGTAAGACAATACAGCTGAGGTCTGGATGTTTATCTTGGTATATTCTATAGATAACAAGAAGTAGATGAATCTTCCATTAACCGAATTAAGACAAGTTATTCGTATGTCATGCTAGTCATAACTTGAGGGTCCTCTGTCCTGTTTTCTTCAGTTTTTATAATGAAGGAGCATTGGATTTTGTCAAAAGACAGAATCTGCATCTTTCTGTATCTATTCTCTACTTCTCTTTTCTGCGTCTATTGATAAGATCATATTGGTTTTAACCTATTTATGTGATTGATGTACTACATTTATTCACTTACATATGTTTAACTATCCTTCCATCTCTGGGATGAAACCTACTTGAACAGGATATATGATCTTTTTGATAAGGCACTGCAATTCTGTTTGCTAATATCCCACTGAGGATTTTTGTATCTATATTTATTAAGGAGATTGGCCCCCAGTTTTGTTTTTTAGTTGGGTCTTTCTCATGTTTGGGGATCAGGATGATACTAATTTCCATAAATGTTTGGGAGCAATTCACACCTTTCAATTTCTTTGAGAAGCTTGAGGAATGTTAGTAATATAACATCCTTAAAGGTTCTGTAGAATTCAGTAATGAATGCATCAGGTCTTGGGCATTTTTAGGTGGTAGATTATTTCTCTGTCAATTTCATTGCTTGTTATTGAGTTATTAAATATCTTTATGTCCACTTGGGTTAGTTTTAGTAGTTTGTATATGTCTAGAAATCTGTCCCTTTCTTCAAAATTTGCTAATTTGTTGGAATATACTTTTTTTAAAGTATTTATTATCATCTGGATTTTCAGCATCTGTTGTGATTTCACCTTTTTTAATTTCTTTTTTGGGTTGTTTTGTTTTGAGGCAGGATCTTGCTATGTCGTGCAGGCTAGCCTTGAACTCACTATGCACTCCAGGTTGGCCTCATACTCAATGTGGTGGTCCTCCTTCCTCAGCCTCCCAAGTGCTGATATTACAGGCCTCGTCTTGGGTTCACCTTTTTTTATTTGTGACTGCGTTGATATGAGTCTGTTTTCATGTTCTCTTCAGTCTGGTGAAAGTCTTATCTATTTTATTCTTTCAAAGAACCAATTCTTTGATTTTGTTGTTGTTGTTGTTGTTTTAATTCTTTTAGCATCAATTTCATTGATTTCTACTCTCATCTTTATAGTTTCCCTCAATTTCAATTTGGGGCTGGTTTTTTGTTTCTCAATATTTTTCATAAAGTTGTTTACTTGAGATTTCGCTGTTTTCCTAATAGCATTGTTTAAAATAAATTTTCTGCTTGGAATTACTTTTATCATGTTCCTGAGTTTTCAGTAGGTTGTACCATCGTTGTCATTATCTTTGAAAAAATTTTTGTACGTTTTAAATTTCTTTTGTGACTCATTGGTTGTTTAAGAGTATATTTAATTTTGCTGAAGCTTTTGTTTTCTCCAAAATTTCTTCTGTTGATTTCTATTTTCATTGCACAATGGTCTGATAGTGTGCATGGGGCAATTTCTGTGTTTTATATTTACTTAAGCAGGCTTTGTGGACAAAGTACCATGTGGAAGTACCATGTAGAAAAAGTACCATGTGCTATTGAAAAGTATCATGTGTTGCTGTTGCAGAGGGATGGAATGAATACTCTGTATATATCCATTAGTTCATATGTTCAGGGGTGGTTCAGCTCTGAAATTTTTTACTAGTTTACTTAGTTGATCTACCTCTTTGCAAAAGTAGGGTATTAAAATCCCCTACTATAATTGTGTTACTGTTTATTTGATCCTTTAATTTCACCAGTTTTTGTTTTATGAAGATGGGTGCTCCCATATTCAGTGCATATAGGTTTATCAATGTTACCTCTTATTCAATTGTTCCTTTAACTAGTATGTAGTGACCTTCTTTGTCTCTTCTAATAAGATTTAACTTGAAGTTTACCATATCTGATAATAGCATTGCAACCCTTGCTTGTTTTGGGGGTCCTGGTCTCTGAAATGTTGTTTTCTAGCCTTTAATTTTTAGTCTGTGAATATCTTTGGGGATTAATCAGGGTTTTTTTTCTTTTTATTGAGTTTATTGGTACATTCTAGGTATACAGTACAGTTACATTCATTACTGGGATCTTGTACCTTTACATGACAGGTCTTGGTTCTCATTTTTTCCCCTTGTCCCTGCCCTCCCTTCACCCCCTCCTCCCCTCCCCATTTACAAACACTTTATTTCCATTTTTTCATTTTCTCATATTTTTTTCTTTTCCCTTATTCCCTTTCCCCTACCCTTCCCACTTTTCCTACACCTTTAGCTCTTTTCTTCCTATTTCTCATTGTTAATTATCTCATTAGGATCTTGTGTACTATTATAGTTCACAAGAGCAGTTTCTTGAATGCCACAGATTGTTGTATTCTGTTTTGTGATCCAGTCTGCCATTCTGTGTCTTTTAATTGGAGAGTTGAGACCCTTAACAATGAAAGATATTAACTGAGATGTGTTGGTTATTTTCATTGCCTTCTTTATCTGTTGGTGCATACTTTATCTTCTCCTGGTGTTTTTTTTGTTGCTGTTTATCCATTGAGCTCGTTAGGTTTCTGTTTTTTGAGCTGTGTACAGTTTGTGGGGTTTTGTGTGAAAAATGTTCTTAGTATTTTCTCTGTAGCTAGTTTACAACTCATCTGTCTTCCAAGCTGGTCTTCTCAATGAAATACCTTATTTCTCCATCTTTTTTTTTTTCCCATTAAGTTTATTGGCACTTCTTAAGTATACAGTACAGTTACATTCATCCTTGGGATCTTGTACCTTTACGTGATGTATCTTGGTTCTTATTTCCCCCCCACACCCCTTCGTATTTACAAAAACTTTGTTTCCATTTTTTAAATTTTCTCATATTTTTTCTTTTCCCATCTTTCCTTTCCCCTATACCCCCACTTCCCCAACTCCTTTAGATATTTTTGTCCTATTTCACAATGTCAGTTATACAATTTGAACCTTATTTACTCTTTTAGTTTTTCACACCAGAGAAAATATTTGATATTTACTCAAGTGTGCGCTATTTATTTCACTTAAGACTATGGCCTCATTATCCATTTAGCTATAAATGTCTCTAGTTTCTCATTCTTTATGGCTGAGTAGTACTACATTTTATAGAAAAACCACATCTTCTTTAGTCTCCAATTGATGGGCAGTTGGGCTGTTTCCAAGGTTTAGCTTCTACAAACTGTGCCACTATAAACATGGGTGCCCATGTATCACTGTGGTATGATTCTTTTAATTCTTTTGGAAAGATACCCAGCAGAGGGATAGCTGGGTCAAATGGGACCTCTAATCCTAGTTGGGTTTGGGGGGGGGTTGTTTGTTTGTTTGGTTGTTGTTGTTGTTTTTTGTTTGTTTTTTTTTTTTGGTTGGTATCTCCAGATTGATTTCCACAGTGGTTGCACCAGTCTGCACCACCAAGAATTCTCCATCTGTTTTGAAGGACAGCTTTTCTGGGAAAGGTAGATCTCAACAGGCGTCATGGCAAAGTTTTTTGTTTTTGTTTTTGCTTTGCTTTGTTTTTTTGTTTTTTGTGAGCTTTTTTAGGGTTTTTTGTTTTGTTGTTGTTGTTTTATTTTGTTTTGTTTTTTGAGACAGGGTCTCACTGTAGTTGAGACTGACCTGGAACTCACTTTGTAGCCCAGGCTGGTCTCGAACTCACAGCGATCCTCCTGCCTCAGCTTCCCGAGTGCTGGGATTACAGGCGTGCACCACTACTCCCAGTTTGGCAAATTTTTTGAAAGGCATCTTATGGAGGGTGTATAATGTCCATGTTTATTTATTTAGAAATATTTCTATTGATAAATGAATTTTAATTTGAGTTTTATTATATTAAAGAAAATATACTTAGGAAAATATCAATAAAATAAAATATCAAATATGTAATGAGTGTTTAGAACAAACATCATTTTCAACATCAACTCTTTACCTGCTTCAAGATCTAAAAAGTAACAGCAGAAAAAATTGCTATGTAAACTATAATGCAAAAACAAATAAAACTCTACTATATTAAATAATCTTTGTTTCAATTATCACACCTAACATAGTCTTCACACATGAGAACAGCATGAATCATACATAAGTCTCAGTTGCACTGACAGCATGTGTGCTTAGATTTCCTTTCCATACTTGCCACCAGGCCATACTTGTCACCTCACTCTTCTGTCAGGAGCTTCTTATTATATCATACAATGTGCACTTAGCAGGAAAATAAAATAGCATATGTGTAATGTTTGGAATAAACATCAATATTTTCAACATCAACTGTTTACTTCTCAGATCTAAAAAATAACAGCAGAAATAAATTCCTAAGTGATCTATAATGAAAATACAAATAAAACTATCACAAAAATAATCTTTACTTCAATTATCACACCTAAGGCAGTTCCCACACATGAGAACAGCATGTTACATACACAAGAATCATTTATCCTTATAGCACATATGTTGTTATAGCAAGTCATTAGATATTCATCTACCCTAGTTCTTTTTACCCCACATTTGATCTACTAGGCTGTCTCTATGAACTGTGCTTTACAGACCATGTAGAAATAAAACTGGGGTTAACCAGCAGAAGAACCAGTATTCCCATTCTGCTATTTCTTTAGCATTGAATCCCATCGAGAATCAAAATCCCTGTGTGACAAGTGCATGTGGATAAAGAAATAAAATGTTTGTAGATGGGGAGGGGAGGAGGGGGTGAAGGGAGGGCAGGGACAAGGGGAAAAAATGAGAACCAAGACCTGTCATGTAGAGGTACAAGATCCCAACAATGAATGTAACTGTACTGTATCCCTAAAATGTACCAATAAACTCAAAGCTGAAAAAAAAAAGAATAAATATTTGATGACCAAAAAATGAAGTAAACATTTGCGGGACTCAGCCTCATTTCAACTTTTTATGAGTAGATTTGAAATATTTTGTGTTGTAAGTCTGACTCTTTTTTTTACTGGAAATATATTTCTGATGATGTAGAAGGCAGTGACCTTTGATGATGTGGCTGTGAACTTCACCATGGAGGAGTGGGCTTTGTTGGATCCATCCCAGAAGAAGCTCTACAGAGATGTGATGTGGGAAAACTTTAGAAATGTGACTGCTATAGGTAAGGAAGATATAATTTCTCATTTATGCAATCAGGGAGCATTGGTTATTGCTCATCAGTGCAGTTCATTTATTGGAATATGAAAATGACCACATTATACCATGAATCTAACTGGAAATAATGATTTTTATTTAATGTAGTAACTCATCATTACATTTCTTTTTCTACATTTTAGGAAGACACTGGGATGACCAACAAATTGAAGATCAGTACAAAAATTACAGGAAAAATCTAAGGTAATTTGCACTCACAAGAATGTTCCTCAATGTTCAAAAATATTAAAACCAAGTAAACTACATAAATGAGGCCATGTTAAAAAAAAAAAAAAAGTACAGAGAGCCAGACATGGTGGCATGTGCCTGTAATTCCAGCACTTGAGCAAATTGTCTCAAAAGTCAAAAAACAAAATGAAGCCACATTCAGATTTCTTTAACTGCACAAAATTTCTTTAAAATTGCATACATGTTTAGTATCTAGAATCTGACAGTTGAATATTTGAAATATCTCAGTTTTTGAAATGTAGGGAGTATTGATATTATGCCACAAGTGACATTATCTAATGTATTATAATAATAAATTATTTTCCATGCTCAAGATTATAAAACTGTTGTATGAAATTGTATGTAGATATTGATGAAAGAAAGATATATGCAATTTCTGTTTGAGAGCCAAGTGCAGCGTATCTAATTACATATACATCTGTTTTCAAAAGACTGCTATTTTATCAAACAAATGTATTTAAATTTGGTATTTGCATTAAGTATTTGCAACATAGGATAACATTGAGGGTTTATTCAAAATCCAAATCAACGCCCCTGTTTTGATAATAGCTGTTTTCAAGAAGTCCTGAAAAGCATTTAGGCTATTAATGTTCTAAAATACAATACTAGAAGGCACTTTCTCATGTTGGTGGGAATGTCACTGCAGTAGAACATCTATAGAAATGTGCACAGGAGTTCCTCAAAAAAGTAAAAGTAGAAATTCTGTTTTATCCAGCTATACTTCTACTGAGTGTAGTCTCCCAAAGTTAAAGTAATCATATTACACATACATGCATATCTATGTTTGCAGCAGTAAAAGCTACAAAGTGAAGTTCAGGAAACAGTCTATATGCCCATTCACAGATGAGTAGAAAGGAATAATGGGATAGCTCAGCCAGGATGGAGCATGCTTGGAAGCTGAGGCACATTTATGCTCAGCATGAGCAACTTAATGATTGATGAGAATCAGTCTCACAATAAAAGATAAATAACTAGGAGAATGTAACTCAGTGCTAGGACCTTGGGTTTATTCTCCAGCACTGAAAATAATATGGTGTGTCCATACAATGCAATGGTATTCAGCTATAAAGGAGAATGAAATAACGTCATTTTTCAAAGAATGGATAAATCTGAAACCCCTATTACCCATATTAAATAAGATAAACACAGAAAGTTCAATATCATGTGTTGTATTTTGTATGAGAAATGCAAGATATGAATTAAGTAGCAGAGATGGTGGAGAAAAGAGAGGCAGACATTTTGAAGAGGATAAAGTAGGCTCAGTGGAAAGAAGAGGGGTAGAGGATGGAAGAAAAGGGCATGAAAAATAATCAGCATGTGTTATACATATATACCACTTGTTCAAAATGAAAATAACCAGTACATATTGTGAGCATATCAATTCCAAACTCCCGAATGAATACTGTTTTGGTAAAAGCTGTTTCCAAGCCATCATTCAAAGTGTGCAGTAAATTCATGATCAAATATGCTTAGGAGACATCGTATCAGATCTCCTCCTGGTAAATGTTACTATAAAGATATTTTTAAATGTGACTGGTTGTTATTTTTTTTTTCTTTGACAGAGGTGCAGAGGTAGCTAAATGCTGTCAATATAAGTTATGGTATCAACATGGGGAGAGAGTTTTTATGACTCCCAATACGAATGTGCACATGAAACTGCTTAGTATAAAACCACGTGAAAGCTTTGCATATAGAAAGCCTCTGATTGGTCATTCATCACCAACTGTGCCCATCGTACATAACACTGTACTCAAATCATATGAGCTCCACAAATTTGAACAGAAGCTGTCTAACTGGCGCAGACATGGGAAAACCTCCACTGACTTTCAGTCCTTTCAGAAACATGCAGAGACAAATCCTGAAGAAAAACTTTATGAATATAAGAAGTGTGAAATATCCTACTTTAAGTGCACTGAAGGAAGTAAACTTGAAGAGAAAGCCTCTGTATATTATCAAGATGTGAGAGCCTTCAGTACACCCAACTATGACAAAATCCGGGAGAGAAATCACAGTAGTGTGAATACCTATACATGTATAAAATGGGGGGAAAGTTTGAATTCTCACCATGATATTCAGAAATGTGAAAGAGCTCACACTGGAACAGACTCCTATATATACAAACATAGTTGGAAACAATTAAATAATAAAGCTTTTGGTAATCATGGAAGAACTCACATTGTGGGAAAACCCTATACATGTAAGCAATGTGGGAAAGCTTTCAGCAAACAGAGTCATTGTCAAATACATGAAAGGACTCACAATGGGGGAAAACCCTATGTATGTAAGCAATGTGGGAAAGCTTTCACCACAAACAGTTCTTATCAAATACATGAAAGGATACACACTGGGGAAAAACATTATATATGTAAGCAGTGTGGGAAAGCTTTCAGCACACACCGTTATTGTCAAAGACATGAACAAATTCACACTATGGAAAAACCCTATGTATGTAAGCAGTGTGGGAAAGCTTTCAGGAGACACAGTAATTGTCATTTGCATGAAAGGACCCACACTGGAAAGAAACCCTTTGTATGTAAGCAATGTGGGAAAGCTTTCAGGGCACATGGTGATTATCAGTCACATGAAAGGACTCACACTGGGGAAAAACCCTTTGTATGTAAGCAATGTGGGAAAGCTTTCAGCACACGCAGTTACTGTCAAAGACATGAACGAACTCATACTGGGGAAAAACCCTATGTATGTAAGCACTGTGGGAAAGCTTTCAGCAGACATGGTAATTGTCAATCACATGAAAGGACTCACACAGGGGAAAAACCCTTTGTATGTAAACAGTGTGGGAAAGCTTTCAGGACACATGCTAACTGTCAGTCACATGAAAGGACTCACACTGGAGAAAAACCCTTCGTATGTAAGCATTGTGAGAAAGCTTTCAGCACACACAGTTATTGTCAAAGACATGAACGAACTCACACTGGGGAGAAACCCTATGTATGTGAGCAATGTGGGAAAGCTTTCAGGACACATGGTAATTATCAGTCACATGAAAGGACTCACACTGGGGAGAAACCATTTGTATGTAAGCAATGTGGGAAAGCTTTCAGCACACGCAGTTACTGTCAAAGACATGAACGAACTCATACTGGGGAAAAACCCTATGTATGTAAGCACTGTGGGAAAGCTTTCAGCAGACATGGTAATTGTCAATCACATGAAAGGACTCACACAGGGGAAAAACCCTTTGTATGTAAACAGTGTGGGAAAGCTTTCAGGACACATGCTAACTGTCAGTCACATGAAAGGACTCACACTGGAGAAAAACCCTTCGTATGTAAGCATTGTGAGAAAGCTTTCAGCACACACAGTTATTGTCAAAGACATGAACGAACTCACACTGGGGAGAAACCCTATGTATGTGAGCAATGTGGGAAAGCTTTCAGGACACATGGTAATTATCAGTCACATGAAAGGACTCACACTGGGGAGAAACCATTTGTATGTAAGCAATGTGGGAAAGCTTTCAGCACACGCAGTTACTGTCAAAGACATGAACGAACTCATACTGGGGAAAAACCCTATGTATGTAAGCAGTGTGGGAAAGCTTTCACCACACACAGTAATTGTCAAATACATGAAAGGACCCACACTGGGGAGAAACCCTATGTATGTAAGCAGTGTGGGAAAGCTTTCACCACGCACAGTTCTTGTCAAATACATGAAAGGACCCACACTGGGGAGAAACCCTTTGTATGCAAGCAGTGTGGGAAGGCTTTCTGGAGACAAAGTCATTGTAAAACACATGAAAGGACTCACACTGGGGAGAGACCCTATGTATGTACACAGTGTGGGAAAGCTTTCACCACACACAGTTCTTGTCAAATACATGAAAGGACCCACACTGGGGAGAAACCCTTTGTATGCAAGCAGTGTGGGAAAGCTTTCAGGAGACAAAGTCATTGTAAAACACATGAAAGGACTCACACTGAGGAGAAACCCTATATTTGCAAGCAGTGTGGGAAAGCTTTCAGGACACGAAGTCATTGCAAAACACATGAAAGGACTCACACTGGGGAGAAACCCTATGTATGTAAGCAGTGTGGGAAAGCTTTCAGGACACAGAGTCATTGTAAAACACATGAAAGGACCCACACTGGGGAGAAGCCCTATGTATGTAAGCAATGTGGGAAAGCCTTCACCACACACAAAAATTGTCAAGGGCATGAAAGGATTCACAGTGTGGAAATGCTATGTATGTAAACTATGGAAAAGGCTTTCAGTTACTCTAGGAGCCATTGAAGACTTAAAAACTAAGAGGGGAAATTGACTTTGAATATATAAAATGACTTTCACTGACATCAAAGGATAGTGCAGAGGAGATCTGTGTGCAATATAGCAGTCTCACTACACAGGTGTTAGTATATACCTGAAAGAATTCATATAACAGAATATGATTACATATGAACAATGTTGGAAATATTTTATTTTTCTCAATGTATTCAGATTCATGAAGTATTCACATGAGAGGCAAGTCATATATGTGCAATAAATATGGAAATCCTTCCATTTTTCCAATTACCTTGAAAATTATGAAAGAACTCCCACTGAAAAGAAAGCCTATGTAAACACTTATGAAAGCTTTTTATGATTTTCATAACAACATGCACACATTTCAAATTAAATTTAGTATAAATATCAAATGTGAGAGAGTTAAGAATTACTGACAGAGACATGTGTTAAGAATGAGATACACTGTTTCAAAGCACACACACAGGGACAATCTTCCTCCAGTGTATCTGTGGAGTAACACATGGATGTGGTTAAAAAGTTCATAATAATGTTAGATTTAGAAAAAGCACCATGCATTCGAGTCTTCAGTACATGGCCTTTAAGGGACGTTTTACATGCAAGCCTTAGTTGTATGGGTAAAGTGCACTTTGTTTGTACAATGAAATTTTATTGAATTTTGAAATACTTTTGTGACTTTGGATTAACCAAGAGGTCATTACATGAAATATGCCTCGCATAGACAAAGCTTGATCATGTTTGTTTTTAACATATAAAATTGACAACTTGAAGCAGAGAATTTAGTTATAGTTGCCACATGTGTGGGTGGGGAAGTTGAAAGATGTCAATGAGAATGAGAAAATGTAATGTTTCTTCTGTAGAGTGCAAAGTGGCATGTCCCATACTGACTGCAGTTAAGGATGCAGTGCCACATAGCATTATAACTTGCTAAAAGTTGTTTTTGTTTCCTTCGTGTACCCGAAAGATAATTGTGTTAGGTGATGCAAATGCTATCAGAAAGGATGTGGCAATTTCACAATATAAACAGTAACAAATTGTATTATGCATTTTCTATGTATAATTTTGTTTCCATGTTTAATGAAGTTAATACAATAAAATTTAACAAAAATAACATGACTAGTTTCATGATATGTCCACAGAATCTCTCTTTTCTTCAGTTTTTATAAATGTAGTTTAGTTCATACCATTTCTGAAAGTATTCAGTATTATTCGGTCCCAAGTGTAGGATATTGTTAAACTGAAATAATTCAGTATGTTAGTACACTATGAGCTCTAGCTGCTTCCAGTTATAATCCGCACCATACCTCATACACTTCTGTTCACTTCTGTGGTGCACAATGAACCAATGAATGTCTTGTTCTCATACAGCCCAGGAGACTCCACATGGAGCTCAGGACAGAGTCTACATGGGGTTCAGGACAATATCAGCACATGAGACCAATGACAGTGACTTTCACACATGGGGCCCAGGACAGCATCTGAACACATGGAGTCCAGGACAGCAACTCAACACTTGGGGCTTAGGATAGCAACTCAGCACATGTGAACCAGGACAGCTACTTGTCACGTGGGACTCAAGACAAAGATTCAGTACATGGGGCTCAAGATAGTGACTCAAAACATGTCCTGGATAGAAATTTGGCACATGGGGTCTTAGGAAAGAGACTCAATATGTGGGACACAAGACACTGACTCAATACATGGGGCCCAGGAGAGTGATTCAACATACGGGAGCAAGTATAGAGACAAAGCATAGGGGCCATAACGGTGGCTCTTCATAATGAAGCACAGGACAGTGACTCAAGGCATGGATTTTAGGACAGGGAATTGGCACACGTGGCTCAGGACACTCCACATCGAGTACCTGACTACGGTTCTGTCACTTCCCTTTACCGTGGAGGTCACCACTTGGCAAAATTCCCAACATTCAAGAACAGTAAGAACATCTGATTCTCATAACCCAGCTTCTGGGAAAGAGTCATCCAACTGTGGGTGGATTCAGCATTCAAGAGGAACAAGGGCCAGGCAGGATGGTACACATCTGTAGTCGCAGTGCTCTGTGAATTTGAGGCAAGAGGATAGCAAGTTCAAGCCCAGCCTGGGCAACTTAATGACTTAGCAAGACCCTGTCTTAAACTAAAAAGTGAAAAGGCTGGGGATATAGCTCAGAGGGAAGGTCCTGGGTTCAGTTCCCAGCATGACAAAAGAAGAAAGGAAAGATACAAAGGGGTGTAGTCATCTGTGTGCACAATGATCTGTGCTGCCTGGGGTGACCCAGGAGTTGTCCTTGTGTCCAGCTCCAGGACAGCCCCTTCCTGTTCCATGTGGGCCGTGCTTGGTACTGTCATTGGATAAGGCACTGTGAGTCTTTGCTGATGAGGAGGCAAAGAAACAGTGGTAAACATGCAGTGTGGCCATTTGGGGAAGGGAGCCTGGTTCAGCCTCCCTTGGCTCATGTGCCTGGTCCTGTAGAGTCAGTTTTGGTGAACATTAACAAAAATCAGAAGACCCCAGACTCAAGATCTTATCCAGCCCTTCTCCAGACCAGAGCTGAGATCCAGGCATCACTTGTGCATAATCAGCCAAGGATAGTGGGTACCCCTTTCAAGGAACAGCCTAGCACTGTGACAGCTCATTTAGACTGTCTTCCCATGGCTGGGTAACCCACCTGCACAGGCCCACCAGGTGCCATCCCTTGGCCATGGCTTCCCACCTGCAGCCACTATAGAGCTGTCAGAAAATTTATGATAATTCCTTTATTGATTGTGTCTATTGATTTTGTTTATGGCAAGAATATATTACAGACACTTTAAGTAGCTCCTATGAGCAAATTGCCTTTTAATGAATTGCACCAACAGACAGGATTTTACTTTAACCCTGGCTGAGACAGCTTCATTTCAGCACAATTCCTAAGTTGGCTGTGGGCAGGCAGGGTGTGAGTTTAATGTCTAAACTGGCATGTGACCAGCAATGGAAATTTTCCTGGGTGTTGAGGGAATGTACCAAAGCCTTCCTGGATGCCATACCAAATAATAGGTCCACAAGTCTCATTAGAAAATGTGACATGGCACCCTAAAATCACACATGGTCCATCCTGTGACTTCACTAATAAAGTGTGCAACTTTGCTGTTTTTCCAAATTTTAACGTTGGGCTCACATTCAGAACTCAAGCAGAAATACAGGCATCTCTGTGGATGAGTTCCCTTGAACCATGCTGCTGCTCTTAAGAGATGAGAAGCAGACTTGCACAAGATTAATGAGTGTGCTGCTGCCTCCTCCATATGCTTTATTATTTCATTTTCTTAAAAGAAAACAGCTAAGTGTGTGCATGTGTGTGAACATGTACACATGTGCATGCATGTGTGTGCACATGTGTTTGTGGGTGTGTGTGTGCACCCAAGAGCCTGTATTTTGGCAGCACAATATTCAGAAGCATGTTTGGCAGCTCCAAACTCAGGCCAAGCCTTAGCCAGCCACACATTGCCCAACTCTGAACATGATCCACCCTATGCCAGCCTTGCTGATACTTACAGGGTGCTCTGTTACCACAAGCCATGATTTGGTAATGGGGGAAAGTTGCATTCAAAGAATGTTATCTCTCATGGGAAAATTATCCTTTGCCAAACTTGAAGATTGTGATTCCAAGAGTTTGGCAGGAAAAATATTTTTGACAGAATTATGGATATAGGCAATGAATCTAGAGCATACCTGAGTTCTATGTTTTAAGGAACAATCATTCAATCTGGCTGGCCAGATGATAAAGGACACTGTCCTCACACAATATATGGAAAACAAAGCAGCCATTCCAGTTCTTACTGATTATAACCTCAGAGTCCTCTTGGTGCCAATTCAAGGGTGGGTTCATCTCCAGATTAGTAGACCCCAGAATGCATTTTAGATCGCACACTGCACTCTGACTCCAGGCCAGGCTCCTGGCTCCCAGCTTTGGTCCTGCTCTCCCCATTCCCATCAGAGCTGCCGCAGGGTGTCTTGCCTCTTGGGGACATGACAGGTGCTTGTAGCAATGAATGTTTGCATGTTTCTTATTCACACCCAGCGTGAGAAAAAAAAAGGAAAGAAAACAGTCTCCCAAGATGAGATGCATAAATGGACAATCATATGCCTGCTCCTAAACAGTTACAATGCCAGGAAGGACCTGGATGGCTGGGATTTTTCTGAGCAATGTTTTGTCTAGAATCCTCCAGGAGTTGTGTGGGTGAATGCACATCTCTCCCTAGTTAACATCTGCTGTCCCTCAGGTCTAAGGGTGTAGGGTCCACTGGGTCTTTACTGTGTGACACTGGGATTAAGGATGTGGATAGTGAAACCCTCACCCTGGGTTTGGGTGGCACAAGTCAATAGATTTACAGAACATAAAGGTAGAGAAAGAAGGCAAGCTTGCCTGCTGCTGATGCTTGCTGCCTTCTGCCTCCTGCCTGCCCTGTCATGGACTGTTTCTCCTCTGCAATGAATGTCCCTCTACTTTTCCACTCTTCATTGGAACCATCTGACTATGGATTGAAATCTCTACAAACTGAGATGAAATAAATATTTCCTCCTTTAACTTTGGGAAATAGTACTGAGAACTATTTCTCAGCAATGAGAAAAGTAACTAAGACAGCAGGTAAACAGATAGCCACACATCTGCATGTCCCACTTTATTCCCAACAGTATCCATCATGGAGGAGAAGCTGACATACCAAGACTGTGACCACATCGGTTCATTTCACTAGTGACAGAAGGGAAATCCAAGGCTTCTTTTGGTTTTGGGTCCTGGGACCTAATCTCAACTTTTCCCCAGAATTGGGGGCAGAATTCAGAGCAACTTGGGAAGTAAGCAACTAAGTCAATACTGTGGCTCAAAGCTGATTTTGATGTTTGCCCTGGGATTCACTACAGCACAAAACAACTTTCATCTCATCCTCCCAGATTTCCCACTACCAAGCATGCTCCTGCTGGGGAAAAGTATGCACATGCTTTTGTGTTTTTCACATCATGACATGGACAGTTGGGGCCTTAGGGGAGGAGCCTCCAACAGCCAACAAAATGGGTTAAGGCTGTGGGACAGGAAGAATCATATGTCAATAGTAGAAGATCTCCCCCAAGCTGGTTGGTCCTGCCAGTACATGTAACTTCAGCCATTAATCCAGGATGCTTATGGCTACTTGATGGGAAGAAACACAGCAAACTCCTGCCAAGAAACACACAGCAAGCTCCAAGCCAAACTGAGACTGCCAGCTCTGCCAGTCTCTTCTGTAGAGCTGGGCCCCTAAGACAGGATCCAGAGCTGGGCTGAGAGCCCTGAGCAGCCCTTTCTGGGGCAGTGACAAGATCTTGTGGTCACCACCATGGGCTGCTTCACTTCATCATTCAGAGTGACTTTTGGCATTAGGGTTAGTGTGAGTTAATGCAAGCACAACAATAATTATCCTCACCCACTTTCTAATGCCTCAAGGGCCCATCTGGTGCTATTTATGAGCTTTGGCTTCTGTCTCAGGGTTAAGTTCTTTTCAGCAGGCCTTCTCTGTCCTCTTGTTCTATCCTCTTCTGAGGGGCTTCAGGTTGCTGCTATAGCTTCTGTGTGCCCTGCATTTCTCTACTTCAAGCTCATTCTTTAGGAATTCAGAGGCTTGAGGGCCAAACAGCAGCCTTCCTCCTGGTCTGTGTTGACCACCATACTGCTGATGAGTCTCAGAATCTCACCCTTGAACAGACTGTCACCTCTCCTGTGGTCTTTGGGCCCATCTTATATCCACAAAGTCTTGGTGAGCAGGAGTTACTGCCATCTGTCACCATTAGGAAAACTGACTTGTTGATTGTTTGCAAGTTGTCTTCTGGTTTTGACCCAGATTTATAGCTCTAGCTTCACCTTGACCTTTCTCATCCTCCTCTTCTCTGCTGGATAGAGTCTCACAGAAAGCTCAGGATTCATCAGAGATCATGTAATCCACAGGCCAGCAGCTCTTCTCAGTAAGGACCAGAGAACAAATATGTCACGTCTGCAGATGGCACCCAGCTTATAACACTTT